CATCGAATTACTGTTGCTTCCTTCGCACTGGATTCACTCCTATTACTGACATTCATATCTGGGATGTGACTTTTAACGGGACTGAATATGTCTGCATTAGGATTTAGCTGCGGGCTCTGTAAGGGGATTGCCATTGTCTGGGGCTGATTAAGTCGATGGTCAATGTATCCTCCTTGTGTAAAATACAATAGATCGTCCTTTAACGTATCTAATTCGCTTTTAAATTTACTAATGTTTTCCATTCGTACTTCTTGTTTCCTTTCTTGTTCCAGTTGCCACTGTTGTAGTCTCTCTTCTTATTTATTTTCTTTCTCCTCCAATAGCTGTTGTAATCTCTCTTGTTTATTTTGTTGTTCGAGCTGCCACTGCTGTAAGTTTTCTTGCCACTGCTGTAATCTCTTTTCTTGTTTATTTTGCTGTTCGAGCTGCCACTGTTGCAGGTTTTCTTGCAACTGCTGTAATCTCTCTTCTTGTTTCTTTTCTTGTTTATTCTCTCGTTCTTCTTGTTTCTTTTCTTTTTCCTCTAACAACTGCTGCAAAAAAAATGGAAATGAGAAGCGGCAAATCAAACTACAGCCTAGCAGACTTAATGGCAGCAATACAAGAACAGCAAAAGAAACAAGAAGAACGAGAAGAGAAATTACAACAGTTGTTAGAGGGAAAAGAAAAGAAACAAGAAGAACGAGAAGAGAAATTACAACAGTTGTTAGAGGAAAAAGAAAAGAAACAAGAAGAACGAGAAGAGAAATTACAACAGTTGTTAGAGGAAAAAGAAAAGAAACAAGAAGAACGAGAAGAGAAATTATCCCACTTCTGACACAAATTTGTTACGTCTCCGTTTGTTAATTAATTTTCCGTAACTAATTCCAACGAAACTTTAGCGACACAAGTCCTTTCTTAAATAAAACTGGTTTATTCTTTCTGAATATAACTTTACCGATACACTCAACTTCAACAGTTGCGCTATAACAAACTATAATTCACGTATCACGAGCTAGACTTCAACAATACGTCTCTCTCTGACTGCAGTTCAATTACTCATTACCTACACACACATTATTGTCACGTTGTGAGCGTCTTATTTATATATCAGAAAAACATATATCTAGTAAATGCTAGGGCATTCACGAAGGAACAAGATACTTCTAGAAAATAGATGGCGTGACAATAGTCACGTGACCTCGCTGACGCAACAATATCATGACGTGTTACTAGAGTCACGTGACTTTCGCTGTCGTAACAATACGTTAAAGGATTAACATGTTTCCGACCTCCATTTGACATCCGGTTGATGAAAATATCATAGCTATAACCAGAACACCTGCATGAAAATTTACCGGAATAAAGGTGTAATCTAATAAAACGAAGCTGTTCCTTCTATAGCACGTGAGGCGAAGCCCGGTCCTTGCCTATCGATATTATTTTTTATGAAAATATTCTAAATTTTATTTAATAGAAAATGAACTGCATCTAGTAATCTTAAACTGTAAAATTCCATTATCTGGATGATAAAAACAATTGGGTAAGTAATTTTTAAAATTAAAATAAAATTTAGTTTATATTTTAACGGTAAGTGTTGTGGAAATATTCTTGTATACTTGACGTCACTAAAAGTTTGCTGGAGTTGATATATTTAAAGCTTTTTGTTTTGTTTTATTTTAGTATAATTTGCCTTTGATTTTTTATGTTTTTGTTCCATTTCCCTTTTTTGTTTTAAGTGAGTTGAGAGAGCGAGAATCGGACAAATGGTAACCCTGTTGAACCCCTTCACACTCTAGATTGTTTAAAGAACAAATGGCGCTGTAGAAACAACCTTGTTCAGAGCTATACTCTTGCCAACAGTAGACAATATGAACATACAATATTCGTAAATCATGATATTTATCAATTTCATAATGTTTAAAGTACACTAGGCGAGTGCGTTCTAGTGGTTAACGTGCCGAACAATGGAACATGTTCGCGTCTCGTTATCGCCCCTAAACAATTGCAGACCACACAGTGAAGCTGTGAGTGAAGCGTTATAAGGGTGACAGTCAAATTTCTGTTGGATAAAAATATACCAAAAGTTGACTTTACCTCTAGTGCATCACTTCCAAATTAATGTCGGCTAGAGCTGATTGAGTGTATATCCGAAAGCAAAAAAATAAAGAAAAACCTTTTCAAGATTTTTTCTAGCAATTTTAATCAACAAAATTATACCTTTCTTGTCTACAATGCTGTTGTCAATAGCAGTTGGTTACGAGGTGAGCGCGTAATCCTACCAGAATTCCTGATTTAGAACTAAGCCCATAACATTCTTATTTTTATGGTAACTTAATCCAAAGTTATTGTACCCCCAGTAGCTCAGCGGTAAGTCTGCATACTTACAACGCTAAAAAACATGTTTTGTTGCCCCTGGTGGGCAAAGCACATATAGCCTATTGTGTAGTTTTGTGTTTCACAACAAACAAACCAAAGTTTATGCTTTCCCTTAAAGCAGGAGTGAAGTTTTAGAAAATTTTATATCAGAACTTAATATATTTGCAAGACGAGTACGTCCCTCTATTCTCGTAATTTTCAAAGCTGTTTTATGATTTAAAAGTGTAGCAACTTTGTAAAAATGAATTTGCACTGTTTATATTATTTATAACTTGGTACATTTTTTATGCCTATTCTTAATTTAGCCTATAAACTCATTTGTCGCGTACTGGCTGAAATTCACCTCAACCCGAAATTCTATTTGCGGGTGAAGCTCATTTTATACTTCAGATTGATACAACATACACATGTTTATGTAATAAAACAACGTATAACAGCGTATTTAAAGTTAACGAGGTATTCTTTAAAAATTAAAGATAATATTCAAATTGAATTAAGGAAATATCTTATCGCTTAAAAAAATTGACATACAAAGTTATGAATAATTGTAGTATATTTGCGTTGAAAATATGATCGTACATCACCTTTATTTTTAAAATATTCTTAAGAAGATAATTATTTAACGTTACTAATCTTGAACTGAGTGGAGAATTATTACTTTTCTGATGTCTTTTTGTGCAGCACATTCTATTTTAGCGTAGTAAAGAATGATTATTTTAGTATTTTTGTTTTGTGGTCCAACATTTTATTTAGTATATTTACTTATAGTGAGGGCGCAGTAAACACTACGTCAGGAAATGTTTATATGTTATCTCACATTGCTTCATTGATTGTTTTGTAAAATCCTAAGCCTAAGAAGTAAAACAAATGTTAAAGTTGGAGCTAAGAAGTGAAATATGGCGTGTGTCAACTAATAATAATACATCTCGAAGTTCTATAACTTACATTGATTGTGAAAATTTATTTCTATTATCGTTTGATAATGACATATTTATCATCATCAGCAGTTAATTGTTTTTATAAAGCTTTCAAAGTTTGATTGCACTGTCTTCAGAGAAGTTTAACTTGCTGCAGTTGTAAGTTGCATCTCGTAACATAGCCAAAGCCCAAACCGATTGTAGTGCTTGGATTTTAAGTTAGCTTTTCTCTAGTTCTGAATTCCGAACATTGACTTCACATTTATTTCCAGCTTAACATTTTTATTAGTATACAAGGTAAGTATTTAACTTTTAAGTAAAAGTACACAGTTTAAACTTAACTTACTATCTTAACATTAGCAATAACACGTAATAGTAATACTATTACTAACATTTTTATTAATAATAATATTATTATTAGTGTAAATTGTAATAATATTAGTCTGTAGTTATACGTATACTATAAATATGAAATTGTGATTTATCCCAGTATAGTAAAATAAAAATTGATTTAAAAAATTTACCAAATACTTTTATAGAATTGTGTTTAATTGATTCTTGGCCTATTATTATTGTTATTTTTAGTATCCATTTGGCTCGTTGACCCAACAGTTGGAATACATATCAATAGATAAAAAGTATAGGAAGTTATTTTTTTTTACTTGATCCATATTCATGATCTCCAACTTCATATCTGTGGTACTAAAATCTAAACTATATATGTGTTCCCCATTCTTCATCTTCATACTAACTACATCAGCAAATCCCTAAAAAATAAAAATATTATAAGGAATCCATTAGTAACAGGTACCCCAAAACCTTGCAAATAGTATAAATAAGTGAGATTTGGGCTTCCCCAGACTACATCATCCACTTTTAAAAGTTAATTCTCTGCTTATTACTTACTCTTAACAATTATAGGAGCCAGAGTGGGATGTGCCTTGAAATGAATCTGCAGTGTCATCTTATTCTATTGTGGACATTTAATGATTATGCATAAAGTTCATTTAAGAAGAACATAGACAATAATCAGTGTGTTCAACTGTTTCTCATGTTGTGTAAACTTTATTTTAGAAGAACAAACAAAGTATTAAACAATTTCTCATTTTCTAGGCATGGATTTACAATTCCAAGTTTTTCTCCCACCAGTTTTATTATTCTATGTCCATCCATTACCTGCCATCATACAGCTATTGAAATAAGAGTGTTTGATATATTCATTGTGCTAAAAAGGCTGTAGCTGTTTGAAGAGAACAAAAGATACATAGTTTTAACGACGGGGAAATTAACATTATTGTCCATAGTGTTCTTCTTTTTTATGATGATGTTAGAAGTGTACTAGAATCTATTTAAAATCACCAGTGCATTTTTTGAACATATAAATAATAATATGTTGCTTGTTGTTTGTGTATAGAATGTGTTCTTTTGTTATGGGACATGTGTAGTGGCATTTCCAGGCATTCATTGGACAATTTTCATTCCATGTTGTGTATCCTATGTACCTAAGGTATGAAAAACTGTAATGCCAGCATATGAGGACATTGTCAATGCTTTAACTACTTGGTAAGTTTTCAACCAAAAAAATAACAATTACTAACATTTTCCACCCATTTATTTTATGATAGCTATTTTGCTAAATAGTTCATATGTTTAGCAACATAAAAATATACATTGGAACAATATAACGAAAGTAGAGACAAGTTCAGTTTTATGAAAGAGAATACATTTTTTTATTGTATTTTTAAAACCCTGTCATTAATGTGTTCATAAAATGTACCATTTATTTAACATAGTGTATTTCTAATGCCATTTAAAAAAAACAAATTTACAATAATGCTATTTTTCTGAAAGTTAAAACTATCTATATTATTTTCAGATAGCTATGGCTTTTTTTTGCATCATATCCAACCACTCCCATATCATTAGCTGTATGATTAAAATTATGGACACAAAATGACAAAAAGTCAATCACTTTGTATGTTATCTCTGCTCTATTAATGTAAACTTCATGCAAAGTTGTTAAAAGTCCACAATGGAAGGTAGGGACACTGTAGGTCCATTTAAGCGGACAATTAGATTTTTGAAAGACGATGAGGCAGTCTGGATGAGCTCAAAATCTAGTTTATTTACAATATTTGCAAGATTTTGGGGTTCCCCACATTTATTTGGGGGGAAGGAGAGGGTGTTGAGAGTAGACATTTAATATGAAAATAAAAAGAGGGGAGGGTACACAAATTAATATCATAAATAAGGTATAAACAATAAAGTACACTTATTAATCTCTACTGACACATGATCTAGTTTGAACTGACAGATATTTTAACCACAGGTGTATGTATTTTGAATAATAATAATAAAAGCTTCATCTCATTGAATTGTCATATTTTTTATGTTGACAGTTAGGTGACAGTAGTGGGAATTAGAGGGGGGCTACCAAAAACTAATATGAATTGTACCTACAAACTAATTTTTTTTTTTACCAGAGTTATGTATATTTATAATAATAACAGTGCTCTAGATAAGGGGCAAACTAGCATAATTCCCAGTCATTTTCTTTAGCTTTTGTTTCATAATTTTTAGATATTTTATAGTGAATTCTCAAATGATGGTATTTTATACTTAGTTTTGAGTGCATGACAGGATTTACACTTAGGGCTCATTTTGTTATGGCATTAGGAGGCTTGTTAGTTGCTGTGTTCATTACAGTAATTGCTCAACGTGTTGTGGATTACTTTATGCTTCCTGGTACTCCATATTCCCATCTTGTCAGCTGCATTTCTTTCTCCTCAGTTGGGAATGATCTCTTAGACTTTGCCCTTAAATTGTTTTGCTTTAGATCCTTACCATTCATGTTACAACCTTAGCCTTCCATACTCTCTGTAGATTTCATTCTCAGGTTTATTTCTTTCCTTACATTTTGCCCTGTTCTTTGTTATTTTTCATTTTATCCCTCTATGTTTCTTGGGTTTGCATTGTCTTATCTTATTGCTTGTTATTACTATGAGGATTTTTATTGTTTCCTTTATCTAGTAGTTCCTTTATCATGGCCAGATTGTTTAAACAGAGTATTCATGATGAAACTTTGTAGAATGGACGGAAACTGCCTGTTGTAGAGATACAAGTGTAGAGGACGATGTTTTGAAAGTTTTCCGCCTTTCGTCTTCAGGTCAGTGTGTGTGTGTAAGGTGTTGTCTCTCTATAGTATTCTGGTGGATTGTGGAGATTTTTCTTGTCTTCCAAAATTTGTCTGTGTCGATGATTCTATTTTTTTCCCAGTTTATTTTGTGTCCAGTTGACATGGCGTGTTCTGCAATGGCTGAATTTTGTGTTTTCATGAGTCTTGTACTGTCTTTATGTTCTTTTATTCTTGTTGCGAGTCTTCTTCCCATTTCTCCAATGTATGTTTCGTTGCAGGAACATGGAATTTCATAAATGAAGCTAAACTTGAGTTCTAAGAAGGTACCTGACCTTTGCACATAGAATTGTTATATTCCTTGTGCATCTACGTAAGAGACTTTCATGCCACTAGCCTTGAGCTAACTCACATCTAAATTCATGTGTTTAACATGAACTGCATTGGTGTATGATGACATCATCATATAAAAATATCTCCCAACCAGTAGGAGCATGATACACCCTTCATGCGCAGTAACTCCTCTTAATCACTTGCACTTGAGGTAACTTAATTCTTTTCCTCAGCACTGTCTTAAATATGTTTTAAACTCTATTCCAATATGATACCTTACTTCCCCTTACTTAATAGCTTTTCTCAATTTGTGCTGCCCAACTTTTGCTCACCACTAACCTTGATGCTCCCACCTACCTTCATGTAATTTCTCATGGAATAGCGCACTGTAGCATGCAAATGAACATAATACAACCTTCCACCAATAAGAGTGTGGCACACCATCCTAGTGCAGCTGACTCCCTCTGTACTATAAAGGCACTATTATCACTTCTTGATTTGGCATTGCAGTGTGCAATCATGCTCAATTTTTGCTCTGTACTTACAAATCTCTTGTGCACTTCTGGTTAATTCTAATGTGTTTTGACAACTTAGTTTGTTGTCATTTATTTGCTGCTTACTTGGTATTTGTGGTATACTTTTCTTTTTCTTTTCCACATAATGTTAATGTAATGTTTTCTGTTATAAATCTGGTAACTACTGATCTACCATTATTTACTATTTCGGTGGCTTCGGGCTTCACACTTTTTGTGGAGGAGGTTTTGGCCATAGTGTGTCATGAATTGTAAACTATCTTGCAGCCTGCTATATCTCTGGAACCTCGGCCAGATCTCCCATTTTGGGGGGAATCTGGCCTTGAAGAAAAGGATTTGGACAGTCTTTTCCCACCTCCAGCCTTTGCTGTGCAATCCTGTGCTACCCATCTGGATTTCCATCATCCTCCTTTGGTTTTTTTGGACATGATTTCCCAGGGATGTTACCTATTATCCCTCTT